CGAGGGTACCCGGAGTCGGAGAACTCGTGGGGGTATGAGATACCCCTTCGGCAGGACTGCCCTTACGCCGTGGATGTTTTTGAACATCGTGGCCAGGGTCGCCTTGCGAGCGAGAACGCTTCTCACAAATACTGGTGGGAGGTGGCGTGTTGCTCCGCACCTTAGGGTCGTGACCCGTGGCTACCATTGTAGCCGGAGCATATCGCGTACGTGTACGCAACTGGCCTCTGGACTTGAGCTTGGCATACTCGAACCGGAGCTTCCGTTCCAGACGAACGTCATCCACATCGGCACTGGCCCGCAGCGTTGGCACACTGCTAAGATGCCGCTTGCGGTACACCCGACGGATGAACTCATTGTCCTCCTCCTCGGGCAGTTCGCCAGCGAACAACAAGATGGGCACGCCCTTTATCGGTCGAACCGAAACACCACGAGAAAGACTCTCAAGGTGTGCAAGGTACTGACCTTGCGTGGTAAAGGCTGGTTCGAGATACCTCTCATTTAGAGCCTTGCGAAAGGCGATATCTTTTGGCGACGTAGCCTCGGGGCCAATGGCCCATGTTGAAAGGCTACGGCCTTCCGTTTGACGGAGGCGTTGCTCCACGTCTGGTGTTGAGAACACGTAACCACTCCGATTTCGAATAACCGCCTGGGTATGAGTGCGACGTAGAGCACGCTCCTCACGCTGACGGATCAGCTGCTGTTGCTCGACGAGCGGGTTCGTGATGATGTTCTCACCTGCATCTGTTGTATGATGCTGCGCCACTGGCGCGGTGGTATCACCACGTTCAACGAACGGATTCGGTGCTGTTAGAGGACGAGCCTCAGGTACAGCGGAGTGGGATGATATCCCGTCATCTCCATGGACACTGGTATCACTACCATAGTCCACATCCTCGTCGAAGTCGAGGTAAGATGAAAGAGTCCGAGACTCGTTGGGTGGCAATGCCATGGTGTTTCGTGTTTAGCAACCGCGAGGTTAAGCACACACACACACACCGACCTCTTCGAGAAAAGAAGCCGATTGACATTTTGTGGTAACGTCAGTCTGGTGGGGGAGGGTGTAACGGGGTTACACGTCGGCTGGTAGTCGACGATAGGTGTGGTGCACACAAGAGAGGGGGTACCCTATAAAGTAATTTTAGAACACAGTGAGTGTATCAATTGTTGAAGACCGATGTCTGTCATCAATTGATTGCGAGATCTTTTAAGAGGTTATCTAGGGCAGGTTAAATACGTTGTTCTAAGGTGTTCTTTTAGGTTAATTAAAGAAATAAAAATGCAGTTCCCCTTTTGATCAACATAAGACACGTGCCTTGCGAGGCGTCTTGATCGGAAGAGCTAGCAACGCCTGTAAAGGTAGCTGCTCTTGAGCACTCAGTGCTATGATTCTCTTGAATCGTTTGGTCCCCCTGGAACAGGGACCGTAAGCTCTCTGAGCTTGTTGACTCTCTGAGTCGAGTTCGTAGAACCAAAGTTGCTCGTAAGAGCGTTAAGTCTTCCACTGACTTAAGGAGCTGTGTAGCTCCGCTACACCTTTCCTTCGTCTACACAACACCATGCATCTCAGCGGCATACCAACTTGACCATGTCAAACTGAATGTGACATCCGTCTGGTCCGCCCGTCATCGCATGGTGGCTCCGCGTGGCGTTCGTATCTCCTTGCCCCACATGTCATGACATCCCGATGGTCCGACGTGGCGACCGTATTCTTTTTGCATCTGTCATGATGTCACAAAACATCCGATCATGTTAGGTCGGACATTTCCTGGTATGGATAAATACCATCGCTTCTTCGAACTGACTTACTTTTTGTAAACGACGGATGAGCGAATAGAATTATAGCAACGTATTTTCATCCATTTACAGAATACATTTACATGTTTTAGACCAATTTAAAACTGTAGGGGTAGGGAAGTACAGTGCGCCGGCCGCTCCGACGTATATGGTCCGTGGAAAGCGCCAAATATGTATATGTCAATACAAACTCCAAGTCACGGGCGTATCATCAACATATTTGCGTAATGTCCGACTTCAGATGAGCTTGGTTGATCTACACGTGTATCTGTCAGTATAAAACCCAATTTACGGGTGTTTTATTTGCACATTTGCGTGCCGAGTGCTCTCAAATGAGTTTGGTTGATCTGCAGCCTAAAAACTCCAAGCGAGCCGGAGCGACAGATGTGAAGGCATTCGTGAGGTTTCTACAGTCTGATAATGCAGGTCTATAGCATGTCAAGGGCTGCATTCAGCGCGACGACTCTGGGCAGTGCGTTGTGTCTGTAATGGATAAGTTTGGTATGTGTCTTGCATTTTATGAAGGCAGGTCTGGCAAGTAGCTTGGTAGAATTTCTTGCACGCAGTACTACCGACAAACTAAGCATTGGGTACGAGATCAGATCCCGCAGCAGCGTCCTTTACTCGAATCACGGCTACATAAAATGTGTAGAGCGTTAGAGAACTACTGTGTCAAGAGAGAAGGTTGCGGATTTTTGTAAAAAAGGCGAGTGCGTTTACGAAGACTTACTTAGAGCGGATGATATATTATGTGTATTCGAATGCATGCTCGTCTATTGACTACCAGGATGCATCTCTGCTGTGCCTTCTTTGGTACCTATTTGGGCGCGCGTCGGACTTGACGCTCGTCTGCGAACAGAATGTCTCGATTGATGCGAGCGACGTATTCTTCGTACTCCTCATTCGCATGAAAATGTGCGAAGAGCAGGGACTCTCGATATTGCCCACCGACGACTTCTCCACGTGCCCGCTACTTGCCATCGCTCTGGCTCTGATCACACAGGCAGCGCCGTGTGCCGAACTCCTCGACAACTTAACCGCTCAACCAGGGAACATCGCCGTCAGGATCGGCCCTGAAACGCCGCTGCTCGGCGTTCTTGACCACCCAAAGGCGCAAATGCGGTGCTGAAGCAGATGCGCGCGCTCCATCGAACCGGCGAGCTCGAGAGCAAGCTTCGTCTTCGCGATCAACGAAAGCACGGGTACCCACGAGAGTCAATGTATACTCGATTCTGGATCTACCCGGCATTTAGTTAACAATCTCAGTCTGCTCACCTATCCGCCTGTTTGTCAAAGGGAATGTCTGACCGCAGCCTTTGATGGAGGTGTGCTGCGGCAGTGAGCACGTTCTTCAGTCGCTTGACCCGATCCCGCGTCTCCTGTGCCAACTCCCGTTGCTCGAGCGCAAGCGCATCGATCCGACTCATGCGCTCGTCGCACTTCCCCACCACGTTGAGCTCGGGCTGCTTGCTGGCCGTCAAAAACTCGGGCTGAACGGCAGAATCCAGCGCTATCGGAGTTTGCTCTGGTCTGGCGCGATCGTTGATCCAGCTCCTGGATACACACGAGACATTTTGAAGAAGTGTGAGGCAAGACATTTAGAAACACATGCACCATATTTTTCCCATTTATTAATTGATAATAAAGAAAGCATTGGCACGTACAATGGCAGAAAAAGATAGGTGGTCTACAATCAGAATGAATGACAAGTACGATGCACCAAATGTGTACCCATTGTACGATACGTCGGAGGGTCGGAGATTTCATGGTGTGGTCTTGCACTTGAACCGCAAACCGTCACGACCTGTCAGGTACGATATCGTCTAATACGAAAGCAATTTCTACCCATCTGGTCCAGTCAAAGCGCTTGGGCTGAGGATTTCAACCCGAATGTCGATATCTTAATTTTACGGGCGAGTTGGCAGCCGATCAAGGAATTCGATATCTTTAACATTACTTTCTTTAAACATTTAAGATAGATCAAGCTATCGTTCAGAATGTCCCAGGTCAAATTTAGCAAATGTTTTAAAAATTCATGGATCCTTTATAAATTTTCATGTTTGTATGATCCCTGTGTAATTTGTATCTGAAATTTTATGTCAACATTTGTAGCAATTGTCGACAAATTACGCCTTTGAATGCTGTGTACGTACGTTTTCGATACATACGATGACATCCAATGCGCGGAGTCTTCACCGTCGCGCTTCTGCGTCTGCATCGACAACAAGCAGTGACGAACTTGCAATCATACGCGCCGTATGTGATCAGTACGGAGGCACCTTACGACGCTTGAACAATATGTGCCATAGGATTGTCGGGGTGCTACAATGGCGCTCGATAGCACTGTCAAAGAACTTCCATTCGGGACTCCCAAAAACCGTCCACTGTCCTTTACCAACGCTTGCAGCTACACAGCTTTTATTTCGAGTAGACTCCATATACCGTTCGCTTATAACTTTCCTATTCCAACTCTGCAAAGCTATCATTGACCGACCTCATTGCATGTAGAAGAACAAAGTTTGATCACACGCACAAGACAGCAGTCGATATCAAAGCTCTCACCCACTATTCGTAGACGATAGTATTCGCCGCATCACTGCTTGGCCCGTCAATGTGGTTCCATTCCTTTTGCAACAGCGCTCATCACTTGCTTCGTTTATGCAGGCGACGAAACAACACTGTGGTCCACAGTAGAGTTGAGCTTGCGTCTGCTACTGCTGGTCCTCGTACAAGCGTTTGCTAGCAACATATTGCGCTATCTAGAGCGACGCCGAAACGGACAATCCAGATTGCTATACACTATGGACAAGATGAGATCCTGATCACAAAAGTGCCATGTACCTGGACATGTATAATATGTGGACTCGCATGCAATCCAGCCATCTGCGTACCAAGTAGCTGACCTTTGGGCTTGCGGACACACGGCCAAGCCCAATGTGTCGGTGGCTTTGCGCTTACGCACAAAGTGTCCGGCAACATTTCCCCCTCTTTCTGTGCAAGCCTGTACAATGTCAGGGCGTGTAGCCAGAAGATACAGAAACACGTAGTGACATGTGCGAGTAAACTATTCGATTAAATGAGCGATCCGTTATCATCGTACCTTGCCGCGACGTCATCGCTGTAACGTTGTGCCACAACGCACTCGTCCATCTCTCTTCCACGAGAGCATCCGACCGTTGACTGAGCACCATCGACACCTTCATTCATCTCGACAGAGAGACGCCAGAAGACGTCGTCGAGTTGGACGACAGACTTGTGCTCCAGCGCGACCATCTTGACACCCGCCTGTTCCCGTTGCGAGTTCGGCAGCCGACGCAAATGCCCACTTTGGTCTTGTCGGCATCCGAGACATCGACTTCTTCCACGTGGTGACACGCATGGCAAATAACGTCTCCACACGCGACGCAATTGTAGCGACGAGTGTCGAGCAACTTGATCGCACCAAAGTGCTTACTGCAGCATTGGCAGTACTCTGCTGCTTGTTTGTCGGCCCACTTGGACTGATCGACAAACATCGACGGGTCGAGCTGTCGAGTACGAAGGTGCGCAATGACCCGCCCTAGGACTTCGCCGAATTGGGGCATGTAGTAGTGCGTTGTCAGTCGGGGCGCCACGCCGCCCGCCTCAATGCCCACAATGTACGCGACTTTGGTCTTGGCGTCCGGCAGCCCCGAGTTCTGCACAAAGTACCCCGAGCGGAACATCCGCGTGCGGACAAAGCCGTGGGGGACGTCCAAGTGGGACATTTCCAGCAGATTGAGCGAATCCCACACGCAGTAGCCAACGGTGGAGCCGTCAGGACAGTGGATGACATCGGTGGCCACGACGACGCACATGTCCCTGTGGTTGCGCTGCATGCGCCGCGCTTTGAATGCCGTGTACCGAACGTACGACGACCGCAGGGGCTGTGCTTCGCACGGGTGTTCCAGCACGTTCAAAACACGGGCGTCAATGAGATTGTCGTACAGGATGCGACATTGTTGCAGGAGCATATCGGTGTCGGACACGACAAAGAGACTGACAACGTCTTCGACCGACGCTTCGGTCGAGTCCACACAGCAGAAACGCGTCTGGTTACGCGAGACGCTCTCGCGGTCTTCGTAGTAGACGATCCCGTCCTTCCGCATCGTGCCCCGCCAGTGGCTGTCCTGTGTTCCTTCGGACATCATACTGTCCAGCACGTCCTCAACGGCATCGGCTATCTGCCGCCTTAGTATGTTCTTTACCTTCTCAGGCAGTTCCAAGTACGTGGGCATATGGCTACACGGGGACGCACGAGCGGCTCTTTTGCTCGACCGGAACGATCGGCCCATTCAACGACTGCGATGGTCCGCACACAGCTGTGGCCGTCTCGAGCACTCGACCCGTCCAGAGGTGCGGCGCACAGAACGCAAGTGCTCGTCGAAACACACTGACTCGCGACCAGTTAATCCACGACCGATTATGAATCAGTCCGTCGGAATGTCTGAATGTCTCTCTGTCTGAATGTCGCTCTCGGTCTGTGGGTCTGTCACGAGCGCCACAGCGACTTTTGAACAATGAGGCGACTGAGATTAGGGCCGTCAAAATTTCTCTCGTTTCGATCGCAAGTCGCTCGCGAGCTGCCGAATGCGAATCGCTGCGTCAAATCCGTGACGAGAAACTGCACCTCGTGAGCGCGTTTTTGCACAGCCTCCTGAGGGCCTCAGAATCCAGGCAAAGTCTATACGATGACGGCCAAAGGGTAATATGGTACTATCGCGCAGATAAACGATAGTCTATCGTAGCTGTGTGTTTGTGTGCTGTCGAGCGACAAGGGACGACTTGCGGGCACTACCGGAACGATTTGAAGACGCAATGGTCGTGAGGGACGCGGTTCGAAGATCAGGCAGTTGGCCTTGTTCGGCTTTGCTTGCGTCGGTCTCTTTTGAGAGAGAGAGAAAGAACTCGAGAGGTCCGGACGATGGAGTGGATAGGCCATTGAAGTGGTTGTTGTTGTTGCTGCGTCGGCCACTTGTTGACCGTCAGCTAAAAAGACGAACGACGTCGATCGTCCGGGAACGAATGCCGACGAACGTCTTCGATGGCGCTCACTTTAATGTCTCAGAGGCCGAACCAAAAAAGGATCCTCCTCCACTTTGGTTGACCAGGATGGGGAAGACATGTGTCAAGGCCACTGAGCTCATGCTCGTGGTTGCGCTAGCTATGCACGTATGAACGAGCGCATCGATACTTTCCGTCGAGTCCAGGACGACGACCTGTGCGACCCTTTTCGGATCTAGAGGTGGCGACGTGGAGTTGAAGTCGAGCGATGCGATCATTCTCTTTCTTGGTGCCTGCGTGAGTTGTAGAAAGAGCACGTGCTGACGACTGTAAGGTGTGCCCTTTTCACTGGGCATGTTCGAGAAAGCGACCGAACGGCATGACGATGGCAAGGCGCATTCGCCGGCAACGGTAGACTGTTTGGTGTCGGTGCATGACAAACCACCATTGCTGTGTCGCGGTTGTCCATGCACTATCCAGTACCGATACGACATGATTCTGTCACTTGGATTAGTCAGACGCTGCTACGGAGCGCAGACTGCGTCAGTCGTTTACGACTCTACGCGGTAGACGCGACCACCTCATTAGAAGTTGTGGCAGTATCAATCAGCGTCCAAGGCGCCAACATCTGCTTTCCTGGCCAGACGGTCGAGCGACGCGATGTGGACGGTCTATTGTATGACATGACGATGTGCAAGATGTCGAGAATCGATTGAGCCAAAGAACAAGCGTCGGACCTGGTAGCTTGTCATCGCACGCCTCTATAGGGATTGAGATTCTGTAAAGTTCGAGAACAGAGGGTTTGAGTCAAGCGCGTGATCGAGTCACGCGCTTGTCTCAAACTACTTGTATAAAAATGTACAAGGTGTAGTCATCGAAAGGTTGGCACAACAAGACAAGTGTTGTCTTGTACACGTGTCTTGTTGTGCCGACCTTTCAATATCTACGTCTTGCTGTGAAGTGGTCTGCGCTCGGTGCAGAACTCGGCCATCCTTTCGCAACGCGTAGAGTTGACCGTTTGTAGACAACAACATGTCAACGATTGACGTAGAGAAGGAGGAGTTTCATGATCATCTATTGACATATTTAATGTGGACAAGAGGTCTGAAAAATCCTGAGCCAGGATATGAGCGCCGGTCGCGGCAGCGGATCGTGGCTGACACCCGCGTAGGGCGGGTGTCCACGGGGCTCTTGAAGCAGAAGTTCAAGACAGGCATGAAGTCGGGCCCCTCGTACGGCCGTAGCCGCGGCTCGATGCTCGCGTATTGCAATTGCCCGTAGCTGGCGAACACCGCGTGTCCAGTACATTTGGACACTTGCGGATGGAGTAGTCACGGCTCCTCGAAAGACCGCCGAGTTCCGCTCGGTCCACAAATGTTCTTGGCAGATGGAGCTTAATATGAACCAGATCCGTTCGAATTCTGTTGCTGCGGCGTCAGAGTCATCTTGAAAACGGCTTTGCAACCGCAAACTCAGCTGACGTGGAATGGGCGGGGCTTTGCGATTGGCGCAGTGCTGAAAGAAGGTGGAAAGAACTGCGTTCGTCGCACCCCCACCGGTCCAGTGTCCTATCAAGTGACACCAACACGCTTGCGCGATTGGGCACTCCCAGAAAATGTGCGCCGCTGTCTCTTTGCGTCCCCGGCAGTGCAGCACCGTACGACAACTGTTGTCCAGCGTGCGACCGGCATGGTATAGATTTAGCTGCTTTGTCGCGATACGATAGCATGTCCAGACTTGATACTCCGTTAGCCCGTTTGCGTGTTTCCAAACTTGGGAAGGCGTTTGATTTGATGCAGCTGACTGCCAACTATTCGATACCGCCTGCGCGTCATAGGCCTTCAACCAGGACTGGAGGCCAGGGTGCAGAAGGCGTTTATGAACGTGAAACGCTTGCTTCATAAGCGTTGTCCACACATCTACATTGGCCACCGTCTCTGGCACACTCCAAGGGAAACGGTGAAGCTCCGGGTGGGCATGAAACACCAAGGTACGATGGTACGAATGCTCCCAGTAGTTAGACACTTGCTGAGGCGACCCCCGTAATTCTGGTAAATTCCCGTCAATCGACCAATGGATTCCATTGACATCTTGGCGGAGGCGAATCGCCGAGTTCGCGGACTCGACAGGGTCCCGACAGGACCCGACAATTAAATCAGCTCGCACCCGGGACCATTTATAAGCGCGCCGAAACGGCGGTGGATGACGTAAGACGAGCCCGGGCTCTACCGGTCCCGCACCGACAGCAACGATTGACGTAGAGAAGGCGGCGGATATGTGTTTGTAGCTTCACGACGCTCTTTCACACATAGCGATAAGCTACTGGTCTCGTCGAAGGGTTTATGCATGCAACGAAAGCACGGATGGTGCGGATGTAAAGCTCCTATCTATGTCAGCTAACGATAGATCCGCGACAGATTCTCGACTAGCTATGAGAAAGAATGTGAAGCTGCGAGCTCCGTCCCTTAGTCAGCGCGAAGACGCGCCATTCTTGTCATGGATATACATGCCAATGTCACATGAATTTTGTACCGAGCTATCAAATGCTTATGACAGTCTTTGAGCTTGTAAACTTTGCTGCGTTGTCCCCACCTATTCGCGCACAACATATCCGATGGCCTGCGTCGTTGCTCGAAAGAGCCGTGTGAGACAAACTTCGGTGTCAGCAGTTCGGAGCATGCCACAATTCCACCTGCTACAATGTGGCACTTTCCACGTCAATGGACGAGGCAGCTCTGGTGGATGCTCCGGTTTCGAACTGCTCGATCTCCATGTTCTGAGTGACCAGCCGTTAATCAGGTATGGTTAACGGCATCTGCAGCTTCTTGCCCAAAGTCGCAGACGAAAAACGCTATCGTACACTAGTCATGCGTGTATTCGCTTATGCTTTCAGCAAAGGAGGTGTTTACGGTGAATGGTAGCCAACATGCCGCCTCAATCGGCCGCATGCTTTGTTGAGTGATGTTATTTACTTCTTTTCAATTCAAGTGCGTGGAAGTACTACTAACTCAAGGTGACCTTAACGCACTTGCTTAATCGACCAACAGATACGCATCAAAGCACCTATCGACCATATGAATGTCACGGCATATACGCGACAAAAGACGGCATGTAGGTCGACAAACCGTTCAGTATCCGTTGTGGAGATGAAGAAAAGGCAATAGCGCGCCAACCGGCCATCCTGATTGTGGCTTTCTCGGCGCATGCTTGCTGGTAGTAGCCAAATGAGAAATGAGTGCTTGCGATCGGTTACGTATTCGACCATGGATGATACTTCTACTTCTGTTGAAAAGACGATGTCTAGGGACCTGGCACCGTTTACACCGTCACGTGAAGTAGAGTCACCCTTAACACCATAAAGATGGGAACAATATGGTGAATGAGACTGCTATTTAAGGTCGGAAGTTTACCATCACGCAGAGACAAGCACGATGGAGGACACACACAGGCTTCAGTAGCATCCAGGCCGCTGTGAAGGCAAGAATTGATCACAGGTACTCGGCAATGAATGCACTGCAACTTTGACTGTACCAATCAAAGATGTGAAAGCACATGAAATATGCGCTTCCACGAGTGAAATCTGCGGCACGTTTCTTCGAATAAAACTTGCGCGAGTAGTGAGTACCTTTCTATTTTGGATGGCTAATGTGGGAGACTGACGCTCAACACACAAGATAGCTCTGCTCCACAAGACGGAAACAATCTAAATCGTTCACAATGTATACATCGGTCGATGTTGTTTTTGGCATGCGGAGATAGAAAGTAAAGAGGCACAACAAAATTGCTGATCCTTGTACCTCGTTACTTGTCAGCACAATGCGCGTCATCGATTCTGGTCCATTCGTTTCCTCCTACCTTCTATCATGTCATCAGCTCGAATTGGATATTGCCTCATTCCAACTCGCTCTTCATCGACATTAAACAACCTCACGCCTCGTTCAGCCTTGTTTCGAAAGAACTTCGATCAAAACGACAGTTATTTGAAGCAACGGACCAGAAACAAAGGCACTTCTTTCAAGTGCAATCGGGGGAGAGGTGCACCGATCAAATCACCATGTTACGAATAAAGGAAGTGATCGTTTCTAGATGAAGTTGGCAAAATGCAAAGTGAATATATTTAGGTCCTTAGTTCACAAACTCCTGTTGCTAGTCTAAGCCTACTGAATTCTTTCTGCCTATACGTTAGTAATCGCCACATCGCGCATTACTAATCGTCTAGTCGCGCATTACTAAT